TAAATGCGGTAATTTTGCACGGTAATTACTGAGGTCGGCATGAAAGTAATGCCTTTGAAGAAGACGACTGCTTCTAGAGTGTCCGGTGTGGTGCCCACTGTTACCCTGAAATTACCCCATTGAACGACACGTTTGAAAGAGCCATCTCGTTTTCCGGCTTAAAATTTTCAATTCCTCTTCTTCATTCTATTTTTCATTTCAATTTATTACTTTCATTATCATTTCTAGTGTGATTCTTTCCAGATGGAATTTTTCACATCCTTAACTCGTTACTTTTAATGACAAAACGTATATATATATAAAAATTTTCCTCTCTACCTATTAATTTTCAAGACAACATAATTATCAAAAACTTACTAAGGAAATATTTTGTTATATTATTTTAATTTTAAAATATAAGAAAATGTTACATAATTAAAAGTTATATTAATTTTTTTTTTTTTTTTTTACTAAAATACTTCCTCTTATATGATTTTGAATGCAAATTAAAAGTCATTAAAAAGATGTTCTCTCTAACAAGCTAACGAGAGTTTGTATAAAATGAATGACAAAGAATCAGAGGAATCAAATTTATATTCAGAGCAGAAAAGTCCACTTGAGAAGAAGTTGCAACTAATCTTTTCACACCTTTATATATACTCTTTCTCTTGTTTGTTTGTGAATGTTGATTCAATGTTAATATATCTCTTTAATGTATATAGAAAATGAAGATACGAAATAAGATAACGAGCTACACAATTTCTTAATTTGAATTAAAAAAAAAAAAATGACAGTAGCTCTTCTAAATAAACAATTTCTTAATGATATTCTCTCAAAGAATTTCATTTGTAACAAACATTTGAAGTCTGAACATAAAATCATTTTTCTCTTAACTGCTGCGGAAAAGACGAAGGATGCTCTCTAGAAACACGTACGCATGACAGTAAAAGAAAACAAGAAAACTTTTATTGCCCTTCTATTTCGCTTGAGTAACTAAATCTTCGAAGGAAAAAAAAAATTTCATCTTTTCCATTTATGTTTGAAAAACGAAAAAAAAATCGAATTCTAAATGTAACGGACAATGAATTTTTTTTTTAGAAAAGAAGAAGAGAAGAAAAGCACTTGATCCATAAAATGTAAACCGTTGAAGGAAAGTTGTTCTCGAAAGAGCAAGGGACAAAGTGCAAGCAAACCTATACTTAAGTAAAAACATCATCCTCTACAAATATTGACTGAATTACTTGAAAAATAACACTAACTTTGAAAATACTATATATATAAAATTTAATTTTCATAAATAATAATTCGTTCCATGAGTCTAAAAAAAGGTGTATCAACTATAATAAAAAATTCAACAAAGGATAAAAATTTCAAAAATTCAAAGTGTAAAAGCAGATTTTGAAACACCTTTCTTCTCAGATGATGCAATTTTTTTCATCCGCGAGTGACATAAAATTGCCCAAGAGTAGGTATACACAACATAATATAAGCTTTGACGATAATCCTCCTTTATCAAATTGGATTTTAATGTTTAACGAATGAGTTTGTCGACTGAAACTTCGCTGTCGCTTTGCGCATCACTCCTCTTTCATTATCCAATGCAAACAGACCACAAAAATTTCACACCAACTCAATATCGCTTTTCTTGTTTGGTATTTATCAAAATATTAATAAATTAACAACAATTCAAATAATAAAATAATAATAATTTAAAATTACATATTTTGAGAAGTCATAAAACAAGTAAAAAATTTATCACATATTTTACATACTTCGGATAATTTTCATATATAATTAACATCAAACATTGAATACGAAATTAATTTTATCTCTTAAAAAAGGAATTAAATTTTTTTTATATTTATTTTCCGCGGAAAAATAAATAAATATATAAAGTATATTTTTTATTAATTTTTTTTTTTTATTAGTATGTAATAAAATTATGTTTGTTATATTTAACGAAGAAAAGTAAAGTTTGTTTATGAGAAAATTGAAATTAAGTTTAAAAAAGTGGAAACTTTTAAAAAGTCGAAATGGCAGAAATGCAGGAAGAAGATAAACATCAGTAGCTTCTGTACTTTCAACAGGAATTACCACCTATACAACGAGTTCGTACCTTCGTCGTGCACGTTCCGATACGTTTACACGCCATTGGTCACCAATCTTCGAAATGAAACTACCGGTCTTTGGGATTCCAGCACTTCACGACTAAAAGTTTCCGAGGGTGAAAGGAACGAATAGTTTCACAGAATAATCACATATAACACCCCCTACTTTCGTTTGATTGTAACGAACGGCTCGTCCCTTTATTCTCTTAATGAAAATAAATACACCTAACTATACTATTCCAAGAATCAAAATTAAATTGATATTAAAAGATTAAATTTTCAATTTCACAGATAAATTTTCTAAACATTTAAAGTTTTATTTTAATAAAAAATAGAAAAATAAATTTTTATTTAATATTAATTAACAGAAAGTAATTTCAATCCTTTTCTATCGATAGATTCACTTAAAAAAAATGCAACTAATTATATTATAAATATAACTGTATTCAAATTTTTTTTTAATTCGGCTGAATAGTTATAAATTTAATGTGAAAAACAACAGTGAATCAAGGGGACGCTTTCACTCAGTAGAATAGATTTGATGTGGTCAGACATAAAGAAAAGAAAATCTTGACCTATTCTTTTTGCTCTTTCATTGTGTGGAACCACATAAAGTTAATTCTTCTGCTTTGCTTCGTTAACTCTTCTTATTCGTGTTCCCAGACCTTTCACATATATAGAGAGAATGTGTTCATTGAATTTTAGATAAAGATTAACATTATTCCATTGTAGTAAAAAAATTTCTAAAAATTACAGTAACTTTAGAAAAAAAATCGTAAATTTATAATCTTTTGTTAACTTTTGTTTAAGAGAAATAATAAAATTTATATCCTAAGTGATAATAAAAGAAATAAAAAGTTTCAAGAAGAAATAAATTATATCTTAAGTATAAAGACCTCAAAATAAAGATATTATTAAATTAAAAACAGATATCAATTAAATTTGTTATTCAACGAAATCGCGAACTTGAGAGTAGAATTAAGAAACGGAAGAAATTAAGGAAGTGAAATCCCTATTTTGAACAAGACAGGCAATTTTATTCGAATAAATGAGAAAAAGAGAGAAAGAAAGAGATATATAGGTATACTGTATCCCTTTTACTCTTTAGACTCAAGCATAGTTTACCAGATTCCCTTAACGAACTGAAATGTACATAAAAAGAACGAACAAAGAGAAATCACGGATCTCATCAGAACCGAAAGGCTCAATAGACCGCGTATCTTTCTTTCTGTCTTCCGCTCTTCCTTCCGATTTATCAACCAACTTTTCGTTTCTTTCCATCTCTTTCCTTCCCCAGTAGCTTTGATCTTCAAAGCACAATTATCGACTTGTATAGTTGCCAAAGAATGCACAGAAAGAATGATCAAGAAATAAACGAACCACAGTGAAAGAAAGAGAGGGATAAATAGATTATTTCCCTTTTTTTTAAATACCATCTAGCTAACATTTCTTAAACACTCATGGTTAAAAGCCATAAGATCATATTTATATAATTAAAATGTACGATAAAATGTTCATCGAGTCATAAAAAGAGAAGTCCAACCTTAATTTATTTTTATACCTAATTTATTGCTCGTTTAGTTAATAACAAATCACAACCAACTTTAATTACCGTAATGCAAAAGGGATTCTCGTGGGGGGGATTGTTACTTATTCATATAATCGAAGATTAAGTTTAATCGAATGTCTACCTTCAGTTACTCTTAATTGTTCATTAGCGCCCGATCGTTATTGCTAATTGGTTCTCAAACGACGAGATCTTCACTCATCATTCTCTAATATAAAGATCAGTCTCAATTTGCCATATTGAAAAACCGTTTTTCAATTATAAAATAGTTTCTATTAAAGATAATTTAATTGAATTCATAGCCAAATTCACATCAATTTTCATTGAAAGCAAAAATCAATACATTTATCCATAAAAAATATCACAAAATTAAAATCATTCTCATAAAAAAAATATTTGTCAAATTTCCTAATTCGATTCATCAAAAAACATTTGTCTCTATATTTTTTTTGGTATGACAATTTTTAAAAAGACCAAGGTGAAAAATACCAATTTTCAACGGCGCCCGTGCGGCGTTTTAGATGTATTTTGTGACGAGAAAGCATCATTAGTTTTACAGTCGCGCTGTGAATTTTAGATCAACTTCGTAGAAAAGGTCCTACAATGAGATGACGATAAATTTCATATTCTATTGCATCGCCTTATGACATAACCAGTTTGTAATTTAATAGTTGTTTGCGAGTCATTTACGTTTTCAATGTAGAATTCTAACAGCCAATTCGAACTTAAAAGAATTATGAGTTCTATTATTCCCCTTTTCTCTCATGTCTCTCGCCGACTAAGAAGAGAATTTAATAAACTTTAAAAAAATTCCATCAAAAGCTATAATAAAACAAACTTGGAAGCTTTTATCCTAATAAAATCTTGCAAAAATATTTTTTTTCCCCTTATTTTTAAATATCGAATAAAAATTTCATTATCAATTGAATATTTTTCCTTAATATATATATATACACGGAAAAAAAGAAAAAGTAATTTTTACTACTTTCATAGTAAAATGGGATCTGTCCGAAGTTTCTGCGCATCTATCGCAACTTTTACTCCAAAAATAGTAAAATTTGCTCCAGAAATAGTAAAATTTACTCCAGAAATAGTAAAAATTATTACAAAAATAGTAAATTTTACTATTTTTTGAGTAAAAGTTGCCAGAGATGCGCAGAAACTTCGGACAGATCCCATTTTACTATGAAAGTAGTAAAAATTACTTTTTCTTTTTTTCCGTGTATATATATATCAGAAAGAAATATAAAATGCCTTGCGGATATTTTATTGATTTTTGCTTTCAATTTCAATTCAAGTGAACAAATAAAATAAGAAAGCATTGCTGTACTGTAAATTGTACTTACCCTTAATCGAAGATCGCTGACTGTCCATACTCGGCTGGCGAAATCGTTGGACGCTCCCAATATAAGTGTTCCTGTTGTGTCGAAGTCCACGGACATCACGGCGGCATTACTTCCCACTAGTATTCCTTTACACTCAAAAGCACCTGTAATAATTTTTATTATATTAGTTTTCAAAATAAAATTTAAAACAAAAAATAAATCAAATTTCTAAATAAAAAAAACAAAAATTATTTTTCTTCAATTTTCCCTAATAAAATATTTAAGTTCTAAATTTAACTTGGAAAATTCAACTTTTTCCACAATTTTTATTATTTCGATAATTTTAAAATATTTTTTTTTTTGATGATTTCCAAATTATATTTTTTTACGATTAATTTGATTTCTTTTGAAAAATTTTAATTTTTATTAGGTAACTCTTTTTTTCCATTTAAAAGAAAATGTGATATTTTTTTTTCAAAAACCACCTTCAAACTTTAACCTAATTCCAAAAATAGTTGCAGACAAAACATTAAATTTTCTTTGCGTATAAAATAAAGTTTACAACGTCATTACAATGCTAAAGTGAAAAGATGAAAGTTAAAACAAACATAAAGAATAAACTCAGTCTGCGGTTTTAATTGTATATATATATATATATATATCTGTGAAAGATAGCGACAGGGAATATTCAACCTGTTGATTCATTAATATATACTTCATTAAGCAAAATGAGCATGGAACAACGAAAGAGAAATTCTTTTTAAATTTAAAATTTTTTCAATGCCTTTATGATTGTATTGATTCTACGAAGATTGTCATTGTCTTGTAAATGTTTCTTTATATACATTCAGAGCACCTGTACACACACACAAGTTACATGGGGGCAATAGATATAGCTGTCGATTGTTTATTTTCTTTCGCGTAAATGGACTTTGTTTAATGAGGATGAAACGAGAAGAAGAACGATATGAAAGAACAAAAAAAAAATATAGTAACAACTATCGCTACGTTCCATGCGTACTTCTTCTTCATTTCGCATTGGAATGAGAACTAGTTCTATAATTCAGTCGACTTTGCGGCACAAATTTAAATAATAACATCTAGCGACAATCGTGCTCTACAAGCCATTCTTTTGTCGTTAAATTAAACCTCTTCTTTCTTTAAGGCTCTTATCATGACTGAAATCTATCACTCGCCTAAAGAAAAATAAAAGAATGGAATTTATAGCTAGTTAAAGGGCTAATTCTCTATTTCTATGAAATTCAACTTTTTTTCCTCTCTCTCTCTATCTCTTCAATAAACGAATGATTCTACATTAAAATGAAAGTACATGCTATTGTCCCAGTCAGTTTCCAATTATAATAAGAAATGCGCTTTAAATTTTAATCTGAATTTTCTTCAATTTCCGTCTAAATTAAATTTTAATTATAATTGAATAAGAAAATTTTGAACCTAATAAAATTTTAGAAAAATACAAATATTGTGGTGCAAAAAATTTCCAAATTTCTATTAGCTAAAATTTCATTTGACGAAAATGCACGTAATTAAATTTCAATTTAATTAAACTTTCATTTAGCGGAAATATTTTAGAGTGGATTTATGTTGCAAAATTATGGAAATTTAGAAAATTCTTAAAGTGAAATTATTGATGAAATTCTTAATAAAAGATTTTCTTACCTTTCGAAATGTCCCAAAGCTTTACTTTTCGGTCAGCACCTCCAGTGGCAAGGATTCTATCGACAGGAGACCATCTCACCGCATTCACTTCTCCATCATGTGCATTCTACAAGATTAAAATACTTAAGAATTCTATTGTCGAGAAAATTATTAAAAAGCACATGCCAATGACAAAAATTAATCTAGCAATTAAATAATAATGACAAGCATTTAAATTAGCAATTTATAAAGTGAGTGTTGAAAAAAAATTAATAATTGTATTTAAAAAAAAAATATTATTAAATTCATTTTTATGACACTTCAATAATTATTGTATAATATATAAATGATGATTTTAATATATTTTTTATTACTACGTAAAACGTTAGTCTTTTATCGTTTATTCTATGTATATATAAAACGCTGAAAATGAAACTTCTACCAAAGTAAACGACTTTCATACGAAGAAATATAATGGCTTCACATTAAATTATTCTTATTACGACTACTTGAAACACTACGTTATTACTTTTGAAAGTGGAAAATAGAGATTTGTTACCTTCAAAATATATGACGGAAAAACTTCACAAAAAGTGTACAATTAAACAGACAGCTACATAATATTGTAGAGAATTAATAGAAAAAGTTAAATTTAAAACACAAACGACCATTTAAATTATAAACAAAATTTTCACAAGCGTTTCGTATTCTTTTACACGACTTTTAAATTATTTTTTTTTTATAAAAGAAATAAAAATTAAAATTATAATATAGTATTCCAGAAATTATTTATTACAATTATTTTACTATTTTGCCATTTTTTAAAAAATATTTATTTTAATAAATACTATTTATGATATAAAAGTCAATTCACGGTTTATATATATATAATAAAATTGAAGTTATGTGTTTTACAAGTTGTTAATGAAAGTCTTGCTTATTCTTTAGAATGTTTAAAAATAATAAATTTCCAAGTTTAAATATAAAACATGAAAAGTTTTTTTTGACATTTTTAATACTTTTGTTTCGCCTGTAAATTTAGAAGATAAATTACAGTTAATGTAATAGCAAATGTTCTATGAAACTTTCAGTAAAACAGTTGAGATTGTGTGAGTGCCAAGTTTGGAATACGATACTTGTTGCTAAACCACACGACTTAGAGTCACACAGTCTTTACACGATGATTGCCAAGTTATAACTTAATGTCAAAATTTACATGTCTAATATTTCACACTTGACAAAAAGCAAATATCTAATAAACCCCAATTAAGAAATTAGTTTCTATCAATGTAGATTTTTATTAGAAAAATTTTAATGTATTTCTTTTTTATATCACAGAAGACTGATCAGTTTATTTTAAAATCAATACTAATATAATGATCAATATTAATATTAATCCAAGTATTTTATAAATTATTAATACTAATTAATAAATTAAAAATCAGAAGTGCTTGCTAATCGGATTAATTAATAAATAATAGTTTAATAAATTAAAATGTTAGATTATAAATAACATGTGCATTTTGAATATTATGATGAACAAATGAATGAAAAACATGCAAATTAATTTCTAATTATTGAAAAGTTTTACAAAAAAATAACATTTAAAAAAAAATTAATTTCTTATTGCTGAATAGACTTTAATTCTTTTAAAATAATTTGTAAAAAATTTCAATAAAAATTTTGCCGAAAAGATAAAAATTATTCTGACATTATTTCGTAGAGTCCAAATTATAAATGTGATTTCAACCTTTTTATAAAAGATAAATTAATAAAAAGGTCTTTTAATTTCATAAATTACATCGAAAAGATTTTTGAATGTCTAAAATTAACTATGGTTAATTTCAAATATAAAACTAACACTATTTTTCAATTGTTATGTTCTAATAAAAACACCTACTTAAGAGTAATCAAATCAGAATCATTTTGCAAGTACAATATTTTTTTTAAAGTAATAAATCTGATTCCATTTTAATTACAAATATAATTTTCGTGCATTTTTATGTTAAACTAATGGTTATTGTGTAATTCAGTCAAACATTTGATTAATTATTATGAAATTCAAAAAAGAAAATATTCAAGTTTCTATACAACTTACTTATTCTAAGGAAAACGAAAATTCTCAATGCCAAATAATAATTTAACAATCGAATACGTACCATTCAAAAAACATTTAAAGTTAACAAAAAATTGTGTCTAACAAATAATAATCTTTTTTTTTATAGATAGAATTTAACTAAACTAATAAAACTGACAATTTTTATTCCAGTTAGATAAGCTAAATTTAAATACTATTTTAATCGAAAATAAATTTTTTTAATAAAAATAGTCTATTTACAGGTAAGTTCTTAAAAACTAAAATCTATAACAGATTTATAAAATATATCTATTCGATTCATAAAATCTTTTAATAGATTATAAATATTTTAAATGCTTCTGAACTTTAAAAAACTGATCTACATATAAATATTGAAATTAATCCTATCTCGATGAAAATAATAAGCAACATTATATTTATTGCAGCAGACGTGTGATTTTTTTTCACACATACATTCACATTCGCCGATGAAATAAACGACACATTACAAAATAATGTACAGAACAACTTAAACTAATCGGCAATTGGAACTTATTTTTATTCTTAAAATAGAACCTACTTAAAAAAGATAATAAACATTTTTGACGTTTCGTATATAAGTAAATAAACTTTTACTTTATATAACAATCAAGTTTAGACAAATTTGAACCTTCATTTTTTTTAAACGAATATATATATATTTTGCGATTTTCGTCAATTTTCTCTGAAGTTCAATTTTGCAAAATTGTATTAATAAATAATAATTCAATTTGTTGCATTCATTAGAACGTGATATTTGCAAAAACTTGTAGTTTTGCCCAATATCAAAAAGTATATAAACGAAATAGAATAATTAAATTTACAATCATAAAAAGAAAAGGTTCTCTTTTTAATACTTTTTTTTACTAATTCCATTCAAACTGAATATTAGTAAAAAAAACTAATTGTCAAATAATTTACATTAATAAAAATGTTTACTAATTATTAATTTTCAAATATTATTAAAAATTATAATTTTGTTGAAATTATTAATTATTTAGACTAAAACATTCTGAGAAAATATTTTTGTAGACATTTTTAATCTATTATCACAAATATTGATTTTCATATATATGTCTACGAGCTTTACTTAACATTATTGATTTTTTGAATTATGTTTTAGAAAACCAATAATTTTCTTTTAAAGAAATCGGCAATTAAATGTTATTGTTTTAAAAGCTATCATAAATTAATTAACGTACAAATTTGATGGAGACATTGGTAGGAACTGCGGTGGGAAGACTAACAATTCCTTCTTTAACGCTAAGTCGATCAGGACTAACTGGTCTTGTATCACGTGCAGCATCCTCCAATTCCTTCTGCATTTTTGCTTGCCTCTTTCTGTGAAATAACAAATAAAATTAATATAACAAGAACAACTATAGAATTAAACAACAACCTGCAAATCAATCAAAAATATTCTAGCACATATTTGTATCTCGGACAGAATCAGTAACAAATTCATGAGTCGAGTAATTCCAATAAATTGTAACGGAAGAATAGTGTTTGTGATTTTAATTAAAAGTTGTCTTAAAATTTTACAAAATGTTTTTAATTTTTTATTATTTGAAAAAGAGGGAAAATCAGAAGTTTTTTTTAAACTCTCCTTATTTTTAAACAATATCTAAAATGTAGGTAAACAAATTTACTTTAAAAATGAAAAAATATATACCTAAATTTAAAAACTGAATACATTTTATCACACAATAAGAAATTTTAAAAACCTATTGTACAGTTTTCTAGAGCGAAAAGTATACTAAGATATAGACTAAATGAAAATTCGAAGACTGGTCATTGCATTATTAAAATGTCATTAGAACAGTCCTATAAAACGTAATAACCAAATGCGTCTAATACAATATAAATATATCTTAAAATATTTGTTGCGTGACATTCTTATTTCAGTATTAAATTTATATTAAAACAAATAACTTAATGTCTAGATAAATTATTTTCATAGGAAATTTTTTTATCAATTTGGTTTTTGGGTAGCAAGTTTCAGAAATTCTAACTTTTCATCAATAAAAAATATTAAAAAATCAATGGACAAAAAAAATTTTATTATCAAAGACTTTTTCTTTTTCAAATTGTAGTCATGCGTTAAAATTGTAATTTAATTTGAATGAATGAATGAATAAAATTGTAGAATTTGGAGTGGGTAAAATTTTAAAGTGATCATTCACATGGAAATGTAATTTGTAACAAATTATTGTGAACAAAGGGAAATTGCTTTGAACTTCAATTAATTCACTAGTAGGTATAGAATTATTTTGTTGAGAATGTCAAAACAATTCTACACGATTTTCTGTATGATAATAATTTTTCAAAATTTTATTTTGTTTACAACTATATTATGAAAAAGGTCAGTTATTTCATGAGTTCATACCATAAATAACATTAAATATTATCAATAATAAATTATTTGCTGACATTGCTCAAATGCATTTGCAGGCTTCAAAGTATAGTTTAATAATTGTTATTAAATTATATATAGAAGCAAACTAAAATATTTGTAATACATAAGTAATAAAATTGATGTAAGTTGCACAAAACTTTTTATATTAATAAACATTTCTTTTTCAGTGTGAAATAACAAATTTATTTTAATTCTTAAAGTATCAATGAGTTAAAAAAACAATAATATATAGAATTGTGTTCTATATGCAACAAATTTTAATAATTCTTCAAAATCCTATTTAAAAAAATAGAGAGAATATTTAAACTTTATAAAGTTGTCAATTGCATGCGTTTCTTTAGAAATAAGTACCTCATTATTTTCAAAAACCAATTTATACTCAATCCTTCACCTATCAGAATGTTATTTTTCCATGCAAAATGAAAGCTTATTTTTTTATAACTTGAACTTTTGTCTTTTTCATCAATTTAAATTATCAAAATAAAAATTTCAACTTTATAGTTATTTAATAAGGTTTTTAAAAACAAATATGATATGAATGAGCTTCTTTATAAAAAATGACAAAAAATTATACAATACAAAATGTTCATCTTAAAAGTAATTAAAAACATAAACTTTCATTAACCATTTTTGTTTCATTTTGAATCACCAATTTTAACTTTAACATTTATTTACAAATAGAATTAAATTATTCCTAAATTTAAGAAATACTACAATTGTTATTCAGGCAAATAAAACATGCATATAAGTTAAAAATAGAAATTATTTATAAAACTATATAAAGCAGACTGTTAAAATGTCAATATATACAGTCAAATTTTGTAAAAAAAAATATATTAGGATTACAAAAATATAAAAAAAAAAAACTAATCGCTGTTTAATGTTTTATCTGTCAACACATTTATGTTAATACACATGATATAAAAATTATACATTATCTCTTTTTGCGAAAAATCATTTTATAAAAGGGTTCAGTGAAAAAAAACACGTGTATATTTTGCTGACCAGCCCAAAAGCTATTTAGCATTAAGCATGACATTTCAATTCAATAAAATTTTGTCACTTCATCAAACTTACCCAAACTTTGAAATGGTATGCATCAAAAAGGCTGTCGGGCTGGTAAAACTCTCACTGAAACGAAAATGTCAAGCAGTGTGAAGTAGCTAGAGCAGCAAGCTCTAGTGAAATGTTTCTTTTCTTTGTATGCAGCCATGCTTCTAATATTAGAGAATGAAATACTAAAATTTTACAACCTAGCGACTCCCGATGTGGAAAAGTAAATATTAATTTACAGAAGATAATCATTATCACCTCAAAATTTACTTTCCATTATTTTCAAATTATCTTAATTCTAATCACCCACAACGATTATTTTAACTTAATTTTACGTTGACAAATTGTCAAAAAAAAAATTTAATGACCCGTAATTTTAAGTATTTCAATTATCACTAATTATTCTAATACAAGTATAATTATTAGTTTGAAATTAATTTAAAACTCATAATTTTATACTTCTCGTAAACTATTAATTTTAATAATTAAAATAAAATAAACATAATAATATGACAAATTGTAAATTAAATAAAATACAAATGAAGACAACTGATTGAGAAATAATTGATAATCAGAATTAAAATAACTGGAACATTATGAGAAAATAAAATTTCTCAGCGAATTGTTTTCATAATTTACAACCTTACTAAAACTAAAATTTGTTAATTCAATATTAAATATAAAACAATATTGTTTCAATATGTGTTACAAAGAAAAAAAAAAAATTTTAATAAATGTTTGCTAAAACACCTTTTGAATCGTTATCCCTAGAAACAATTTCTTTGAAGATATCAAATATTAGTCATGCTATTTTTTTTCCTGGAGAATACTATTCTAACTAATTATAAACATGCAAACTAAAGTTATGTTTTCTATGAGATATTTACAACCGTACTTACGAACGTTTCCCAATTCTATTTTCAAAATCACGAGCTATAAATGATTAAAAAGTTATTCATTCAAGTTAAAAATACTAACCCTATAACCCTGTAAGATTAACTAAACGGGAACTCATAAAGTATCTAAAAATAACTACAATCGAATGTCTAAAAATAGCTACAATTAAATATATTTAAAAATAATTGAATAATTAAATAACTAAAAATAATTGCAACTTAATAACTGAAAATAAATGAAATCAAATAATTTAAATAACTATATAAATGAGTAGAAATAACTACTATATTGAATAAGGTCTATAAAAGTACCTTTCTTGTAAGTACTATCTATTTTTTTCAATAAATAAATTACCATGCAGAATTAGTAACACGAGAAAACTACCACCCAGCAAAATAGAATCAGTTTAAATAAATAAAATTGACGTAACAATCTAATTAAGCTTGCAACATAACGAGATAAATCGGAAAAAAATTCTTATGAAGCAAATTCAGATACTCTGAATTTAGTTTCTATAAACTGTCAATTTTCATAAATTCGTGTTATTTGGGAGGCTGTAAGTAAATATCCTATAACGACAATGACGATTAAACGATATTGACAAAAATTCACTAACACATGATACTTATAACAACATTCATAATTATTCTACTTACTTCAAAAAATTGTCATTTTCTTCATTCATTTTATCTGCATCTTTTGCCTTATATTTAATTAAACGCTCCACCAATTGACGATTTTCTTCCTAAAAAAAATTTCAACAATTATATTTTTCTTCTTTTTTTATAATTATTATTGTATTATTTCATGAAATCATTCTTATTATATATAATATTTGAGATATTTTTGTTAATTCTAAAAATTAGTGCTTTTAAAGTGAAAAATTGATTACTTCAGATTTGAAACATTAGAAAATGAGAGAGCATTATAATTTACAAAAAATTAAACCTGAGCTTTCCTGAGTTTTTCTTCCAACGAAGCGAAAGCAAGTTGCAAAGCTTGATGTTCATCTTTCAATGTTTGATTGATATTTTCCAATTCCTTTTCTCTCATTACATATTTTGAAATATCAATACGTAACGTATTGTTAAGTTCCGTAGTTTCTGCAAGACTAAATTATCCATTTTAATATTAAAATCAATTAACAATTAAAAATTAGACTTAAATTTCTATAATTTCAATTTTAAAAAAACCTGAATAATTAAAAATTATACCTGCAAAAAATATTTATAAATCTTCTTTTTAATTCAAAAAGGCAAGATAAAATAATTTTAAAAATTTTACCTGGTTTCTTTAGTTTGAAGTTCTTTTTGAAGACTTTGTAATTTATTATTGAGATCTACTATTTGTTGTGTATGTTCTCCTCGTCTCCTGTGTAAAGTTGCCAATTCTTCAGCTTGTGCCAATAATCGTGCTTCAACATTTGTACCTGCTCCAGTACTTCCCACTGCAATTTCTCGACACAACTTTTCATTTCTTATAGACAATTGTATATTTTCACCTCTCAGTGTATTAGCACTCTCAAAGAGGCGATTATCTAAAAACATCAAGAAAATTGTAAACAACTACACCTTTTTAAAATTAAAAATATGATTCATCTATTATTACATATGCAAGGTAGAAATAAAAATTAATATTCATTTTCCAGATAAACAATAATGATATAAAAATATTAATAAATTAATTACTATAAATTGTATTAATATTAATTTTAAAAATAAATAAATTACAAATTAGTAATTTAATCAAATTCAAAACATAGTAAATAAAATCTCTTCGTTTATTTTTACTTGAATTCTTAAGCAAGTTATTGATAATTTTTTTACAATGCAAAATAAAGTTAAATAAATATAAAAAATATGAAACACTTGCTTGGTATTAACATAAAAAAATCAATTCTATTTTTACGTAAAAAAACAATGCCAACGACGAGAATAATAAAAACAATAACTACAGAAAAAAAGTTGGAACTTGTAGTCATCGTCGAAACATAATTAAGTATTTTTCTGCATAATTAATTATATACTTACGTAAACTAATAAGATCTTGAAAACATTGAGTTTGAGATTTATTTCGTTCTCTTAATTGAGAAATAATATCCTTCTTCCATCTCATATCTTCTCCAAAATGATGCTGCATTGCTTCTCCACTAGCCATATTTTCACTTTTTGTTAATAATTAAAACAATATTATATTTCTTCTAAAATTGTCACACTATCACAAAATTAAACTAGACCTTTAAAGATACGTAAATAAACAAGGGAAACTAAACGTATGTCAAAAATATAACAGAAAGATGTTTGTTTCACAATGATGTTAGATTAAATTTCTTTGAAATGACAGATTTTGATAGATGTCACAATTTTTACTTCTGATAAGTTTATAACATTCACGGGACATTCCGATTGCTAGATCACTTTCGAAATTCGTATTTATATTATATGATTATTCTAACCTAAACGTGAAAACACTAATAATAAAAATCCCAGCACCACCGCAGCGATACCGAGTGAATGCTGCTCTAAACCAATATCGATTCTAACGAATCGAGATACTGAACAATGAATGGCGCGTTTTTTAAAATATATAATAAAAAAAATCATTTTGTAAAAAAATATTAACATAACCTCATTAAACCATTATTGCTATCAAAATTTTTTATAATTTTATAATTTCAATAGAATTTGTTAAAAAGCACATGAATGAATGCATCATAAGAAAGGCATAAAATAAAAAAAAATGTGTAAAAAAAAACACCTAATTTGTTACATTTTGCACATTTCGTACAAAGAAATTTCTTTGTAAAATGTCAAACATGTTAAACAAAATAATCATTGTAACAAAAAAAAGCTTTGTTAAAAAACAACAAAAATATGTTAAAAAATAGGGATTTCAGAAAAAATTTCTGTTCTACAAACAATAAAAATACATTTTTCACAGTTATAAATATTTTTTTCCAACAATTGCATTGACTTACCATAAATTGAGTTTTGATCCATTGAAGCCATCTCCTCCTTCTACACTGGCCTTTAGACAATTAAATCAGTCCTCGAATCCTTATTTCTTCTAGAATCTGATTCAAAAATGACATTTTAAAATGGAGAAAAGTGAAAATTTGGAAGAAAATTCTGCAAGGAGACAAATTAGTGAACAGCAGCACAAGGACACGAGCAGCACGTAGAAAAACGGTTGTAGTACAGAGTAGAGGACGCTGTAGACTCGTTTCGCGCGGGAATAATGGAAACCTCTGATTGGTGGAGGAATAGTGACAGGACAATCGACCGGCGTGACTGCAACGTAGGAAGGGTTGTCATCTATCAGGGGTTATATAATATAAATTCTCTGATTATAAATGTTTGGCTGCTGGTAATCGAAAAAAGAAATGTTACAGTTAATTATACAAAAGAAGTAATAATTATTTAATGTCAACTTATTAAATAATAACTACTTTTCATTCAAAATGCATTTGTGGATAATTTAAAAATGCCTATAACAGGTAATAACTATCACTACAGTTGATAAATGGAGCACTACCTTTTTGAGAGTTTAAAAATGAACAACTGTAGATAACTTTAACCTACAGTCGGTAATAATATCTATAGTTAATAGTTATTACCAACAGTAATTATATAGTGAAAATAAAATTATTTCGTTATCGTCGCAAATGATAGTGTAGAAATTGACTACTTTTGCACAAAAATTCAAATGCAGATATATATTTCATATCTATTGATTAATAATTAATAATTAACTGATAATTAAAATTAAAGAAGAATTTGAAGATTATAATTAACTTCGAATAAATTAAATTGCAGAACTTAGAAAAACATTTAATTATCGGATTATAAGCAGGATAAGAAAGGAGAAAACTGTAATTATAATAATTAAATGAATTTATTTCTGATTAAGTGCGATTGATGCTGAAGTGTAATACTTCAAAGCTCTTCTTTTTACAGATTTGAACAACGATTTATACAATGCAATAAATACAATTTCAATGGATTAGGGTGTTTATTGATTTAAAAATTAAAAAACAAGCAAGTTTTAACCTTTATTTTCCTAATGGAACACAGATCTTTTTTCATTATTTTTTGTATTATTTTTGAAAAATTTGAATTACTCATATATTGTAATATATTTCATGAGTTAATTTTATTTATTTACTTCATGAATTAATTTAAATTAATTTTTACATAAGTAAAATTTAATTGTAAAAAAAATGTTCATGTAAAAAATGTTCATTCATTTAGATGTACATATTAAATAAAATGACGAGAGGAATTGAAGATAAAATTAAATTGAAATTTTAATAAAAGAAAATGAATTTAAATAATCAAACATTTCTGTGTTTTTAAGGAAAATTCAATGGATAAAACTTTTGACATGAGAAAAATAACAATTTTTGTGAATAACGGGTTATTAATTTTTTGCCCCACTTTTTTTTTCCAATCGATTTTGTTAAAAGACAACATTTTGCTGGCAAAGTACGGAGCTCTCTCGTATATTGGAGTTACGAAAAATATTAGAACTATATAGGAAAACGTACAATGTAATTATTATTTGGTAATTATGACTACACATTCGCACCGGGATCGTTGAATAACAGCGCATTTAAAATATCTTTCAAACGAATACACCAGTGCGAGCAGAGTAGAAAACTTTTTATATACATAAAACATAATGAAAATTCACTTCAGAAAAAATCGATTCAACAGACTTTTAATTTATTTAAACATTTTTTTTTTTTTAATTCAATTTCTTTTTATAAAACAAACTATTTTTATTCGCTGAGACCGCAAAAATTTTTAATAATTATTTCAAGCCAATTTTTCAATATTGTCTTTTAATAAATTATAAATTCTTTTCAAATGGTTTATTTTAATAAATTATAAATTCTGTTCGATATTGTTTTTTTATTAGTAAATTAAATTTATGTTAAATCGATATTTTTCAGAATGTCATTCCTCTTCAAAAATTTACTTGACAAACAAATGTGTGTGATGACTATATATAACTCGCGACTTATTATGGAGGCAGTGAGTTGAGAAATTAAATTAAAATAAAAAAAAGAGGTATTTTACAAATTCAACAATTTGGTTTTGATAAAATTGTTGCTCCATTTACAAATGAGAAAAGCAAAAAGAAAATTTTTTTATTTTCAAGTGAAAGAATTTTATTTTTTTATTGAAAGTATTTTTTTTTTTTTTTTGCTTTTTTCATTTGAATTATCATTCGTTCAATCAGAAAATAAATCAGTCGGATTTCAATGAGAAGAATTTAGAGCTTTTTTTCTATACCATTTACCTAGTGAGACATCATAATTAAATTATTATTAATAAACATCTGAACCATTTTACTAGCTCCGCCTCTTTGGCTTGTGGACTTGTGACTGACCATATATATATATATAGAATATAAATTATTAGGTACAATATACACATATATATATATATTTTGTTTTTTCATTTTTTTTATATACGTAATATCGTCAACTCACACAGTTTAGAATCTCCCCCCCCCCCCTCTCAAACCCGTATTCTTACGCACACGTGATTTATTATAAATAAAATCAATAAATTAAGTCTTCACTGAGATAATATTGTTAAAATTATAAATTATTCTAGAACCTGTGCAAGGAAATTAAAAGTCTTATAGAAAATCTGAGATTCCAATCTGTGTGATGACCACTTTGTGGTACAGGCTTTACGCTCTGTGTCTACTGTATTCTTTTTTTATCTCTCTCTCTCTCTCTCTCTCTCATTCATTCTTTTTTTTGTTCTCTTTTACACACATTCTTATAACCGTTTCGTACTCTTATATTCGACTCACATTTTTACTTCTGGTCTCACAATTTTATATTCTGTCGTTAATAAAAAAAAGAAATAACTACTTTGCTCTCTAGCAGAAATTAAAACCTTAATCTCAATAGATATTTTCAATAATAAAAAAAAACAATCAACATTCGCTACAGTTACAATTTTTATTTACACTCTCGACAATGAAATTTACAATATTTTTTCTTCTATTACGTCTTTGATTTATCGAGGGTTTAAAAATAGAAATACACAGATTAAAAATTAAGAGTACGAAACAAACATTTTTCTCACACAACTTATTTCAAAAAAAAAAATTATTTTAAATTAACAATCTAAGTGAATATTTTTTCACTTTTACAATAAAAAATTTGCGATTTCGAACATAATTATGGGGTTTTTTTTTTGTTTGTTTTTTTTAGTAAAAACAATATTCATTATGCTAGACACTGGTACCATATTAAATATATAAATAATAAATATACATTTTTTCGCAGGCGTTTAACGCATTTTCTTTTTTAATCCCGAGTAAAAGTATTTTACAATTTTTTTTCTTTATTTCTTTGAATTTGTCACTTGGATTAACCAAATGGAAATATTTATGCTTAGTATTTTTTTTATATAATTTGCTGTTTGTGAGAGAAAAAAAAATGTATTTTGACTCGGGATGATGAAATAGGGATAAATTAATAATAATAACAATAGTGCTAGTTTTGTAACAGAGGTAAGGCAGACGTAGAGAAGTTGTTATAGTTTATGAATTAGTAGTAGAAGAAGAAGGAGGTGGAGGGCGATTGCGCATCAAGTCGAGGTCTTTGCACCGCAGGTCGCGGCTGCTGTGCTACCTTGCCTCTTGCCTCGTTTAAGTGTGGTACAGATTTAATTATTCACGCGTAATTACTCCTCTCTTGCTCTCTCGTACTTGTGCTATACCCACCGACTGTAACTTTGAGTACGTCTCTTCCTTCTTCTCCCTTCCTCTCTCTTTCTCTCTTTCTCCTTTACGACTTCTCTTCTCTCACTTGTCCACCATCTCCTTCTACTTCTCTTCAGGGGGGTTAAGTGGGTTACCCTGCGATACCTTGAGTTTAGCGCGCGTAGTATAGTCGCCTGGCGGGCACTAATTGACTAGCATCGTTCATCACTCTCATTTACTCTCGCTTCTTCTATCGTTAAGCCTCTTATATTTTCCTTCATTATATATATATATATATATATATATATATATATATATATATATAGCGTGAAAATCCCCTGCCCAACAAATCTCTTCAATTTCAAATTTGAATAATTCTCCATCACCGAAGAAAACAAAGCTTCTTCTCAACTTTCATTCTCCCAATTGTTCTCTCAGTGATCCCAACACTGTCACCTTAATAGTCTCCAATTAATAATTTATTATCACTTTTTATTAAGATCTCTAATAATTAACATTGTTCGCTTTCATTTACCTTATTTATTAAAATTTATTTAATTTCTTCATTATTCTTAATAAAAAGTGTAATAAAAAATTATTTTTTTTCTATATCTATCTCAACGCTGGAATACTAAATTTATTCTTCTCTTTTTATAAAAATCATTTTTTTTCCCCCTACATATTAATAACAAAACAATATTAAAATTAATTCAATTTCATTATAATTGTATATATACAATTATAATTAAAAACAATTGTATAGTATAAAATACAATTGCAATTAAAAACATTTGTAGTAGAAAACAATATTGTAATTGAAAGAAACGACAATTGAAAACAATTGTAATTGAAACAAATAACAATTATTGAAAACAATTTTTAATTGAAATTAAATCAATTCGTATACAAAATTAATCAATTTTTTTTTTTGTAAATTGATCCAATTATTATTTTAAATTAAAAATAATATTGGATAAATTGAAAATAATATCTTTTCTACATAAATATATATCTATGTATATTATATATATATTTAAAAAAAGAATGTAAGAGAAAATCTTGACTGATTTTTTTTTTTTTTTAAATAAATAAATGGAATTTGAGATAATTCTCTGGGAGAATTTTCTTTTTTTAAACTAAAAGTTTAGTTTAAATATTTTAACACTTTCATCATTGAGATATATTGAAAATTTATTCTATGAGATAGTTGATTTTTCTTTTTAATCTCTTTAATTGTATATTCGCTCGCTCATTTAATGAGCTATTTTCATTAATTTGTGAAATATTCGTCCTGGAATTTATGAAACATTTAAAAAAAGAAAAATTTCTCATTCTATCACATTTTTTCATCAGATATTTTCTCTCACCGATTCAAAAATTCAACACGGACGATTTTTCAAGTTAATGGAAAGATTTAATAGAGCAAAAATTAAGATAATTAGCTTTTCAAGCGGAAAAGTATTTTATACCTTTTTATATAAATTTGTAAATTTACTGAAAAATATAACATTTTAAAATTCTCTTTTTTCTATCAAATAAAGAGATAAAAAGAGAAAAATGTATAATCATCAAGAATTATTCAACAATTCTTGTATATAAATAGATTTATATCTACATTTTCTGATATTTACTTGAAGATTTGTTAATTAACTATATATATATATATACACTGGGAATTGTCTTTCATGTTTATCAGCAAGAGAGCTGTTTAAGCAAAATTTCAATTCGCACATTAAACAAAACGTTAATTCACAGGGGGTAACAAAATGCTAAAGAAGCATTTATTCAAATTTCCACTGGTAAAATCTCTAGCAACCTCTTACAAACAAAAAAACAAATTTTAATATAATGATAAATAAAAATAACGTTTAATTAAAAAAAAAAAAGAAAAGACTTTATATATATAATTTAATTCTCTTTTTGAAATGGAAAATTTTCTCTAAACAATATACATTTAAATATAATAATAATAATAATTAAAAAATCACTGAAAATTAAAAGAAAAGAATATATATATATTTTAAATAACAGTCACAAAAACCGGAAATTAAAGAAGAAACGAAACAAAACAAACTGATCAACGATAAATGACTCGAATCGTAAAAATTTTTCTCTGAACTAAAAAAATTACAAAAATCCAGTGGTTTGAAGAGGCGCCTTCTCTGCAAATGAATCGGACATAAAAGACAATTATAATCAACGAACGAGACTAAAAGTAAAGAAAAAAAAAAAAAACAGAAAAAACAAAAAAAAAAAATACTGCTCATCAAGTAAATATTCCTGATATTGAAATTAAAATTCTTTTGGGCAGGGGTAATTGTTCAGTCTAGAGGCAATTGCTTTCATTCTCTTTAACAGTCACTCACAAAAAAAAAAAAAAAAAAAAAAAACTGGCGAATAAATAGAAACAATATAAATAACTTAAGAACACAAGAAAGGTATTACAAAATTTGTGACTTGGTGTGCGCCTTAAAAAACAAAAGAAAAAAAAAAGGTGATTTTTTGCGTGTGTGTGTGAATCTTTGAGCACAAGCGCGCGGATCAACAATGGGAATAAAAAAAAAAAAAAAATAATAGTGAGAAGGGGAAAAAGATAATAAACCCGGGCAAAAAGGAAAGGTCTGCTCATTTATACACGCGGACGTAATGAAGTTGGTCGTATTCTAGTAACAAGACCTTCTGGCGACACACGATCATCTCGTTAGGTCGCAATTACGTCGTGAGAGAGAACCTTTTGGAACACACGCGCTTGGGCTTCTTAACGCTCTACTATATACTATATTTATATATATACGTTGTGTGTGTATGTGTGTGTGCTGTACATCGTATTTACAATGATATACAATTAATGTAGGGTAATGATTACACGGGCAGATTAACAGGGCGAATGGATTTAAGCGTCGTCGTCGTCGTCGCATTAACGAAACAAGCGTACCTGAAAATTCACTCTCCTTGTGTATTATGCGCAAATAAATCAAAAGAGCGATTATCCTCTTCATTTTTGTTCCGCGACTTTTAATCTAGTCTCACTCTCTCTCTTTCTTTCTTGATTTTGATCCATTTTGGGAAAATTGGAAAGAGTTCAGTCTTGTAATGCCGTTCAAGGAGTTTTAATTGTAACTCAATCGAAGCAAATTCCATTCGAAAAAAAGGAAACTTCAAACTAACCTGCAGTTTGATTTTTATAGACCTAATTTTCTTGCTTCTTTTTTTTTTTAAATTATTTCTTTGGATCTGTCACTTCTTTTCCACTTTCCTTTTTCTTTGCCCAGCATTTTCTTTTTTTTCTAATCTCCTGGTTTGTGTTTGGATTATCGTCATCAGGTTTCCTTTGAAATATCTCTTTGGTACGTTAGGTGGCCTGGTATTTGGATTAATTTTCATCTTCTTTTTGGCATGAGCTTTCTTTGTTTCTTAAATGTTCTTATGAACGAGGTCAAGATAATGAATTGTGACAATGACGATGACGACAACGATGAATGGTCGTCATTAGGGCTTCGCGTTACGTATTACTTGGATAACCGTAAGCGAAGCTAACCTCACGTCAGGGATAATCGGGATGCATGAGATTGTACATGATCGCAAAAATTGTGCACGCTGCGTAGACGCCCAAGGCCACCCACCATAGGAGTTGCTCGTGCAGTCGTTGCTCGAAATTCTTGAGTACAAGAAGACCGATCGTCAGCCCGGCTAATGCACCGGTCAGGTGCGCCACGTACGAGACAGGTGGACCCATCTGCTCTGCCGCATATCTGTCGTAGATGGCGAAACCCACATCGGCGCTTGCTATAACAAAAATTACATTTCTCTTATAAGTACAATAACAACAGATGTTCAATAAATGTGGGAAATTATTTTTCTTTATCTCTTTTCTAATTGTCAATAAATTTACTATTAATTTTGTCAAATAATTTATAATTTAATTTTATTCAAAAATAAATATTTTCTTGAACCAATCACTGAAAAAAAAGGTTGCCGAGAAATTCAACTATGCCATTGGGTATAGTTGACTAGAAAGAAGTTAAAATAACTACTTTTTTAGTTAATCTAATCATGTTCATGTTGTTAATGTAACTATTTTTAAGAAGTTAATAAATAATAGTTGATTTTACGTAAATATGTTGTTAAAGTACAACTACAAGTCGGTAGTAAAATTAACTTTCTTAAGGTAGTAAAAATAAGTGGAATTGTAGTCAACTCAAAATTTGAAGAGTAGTAAATCCAACTATACTATTCACCAGTTATATGAAATTATTTTCTTTAATTAATGTAACTGCTTTTTGAGTAGTAAATTTTTTATTAATTTCTATGATTTTATAGGCTTTAATAAAATTCTTGTTGTAGAATTAACAAGTCGTCTGTAATTAAAACTACTACTTTAAGTAGTAGATTTTTACTATTTTAATTAATTCGATAAACTTAAAGAAGATTTTTGATGTTGAATTTACAAATCGTTTCCATTTAAAACTACAACTTTAAGTAGTAGATTTTACTACTCAAAGTGGTACAATAGGCATTAAGAACATTTTTGGTGTAGAATTAACAAATCCTTTGCGATTAAAACTACTACTTTAAGTAGTAATTTTGTACTATTTTAATTAATTCAATAAGCTTGAAAAACGTTTTTGATGTAAAATTTACAAATCGTTTCCAATTAAAACTACTACTTTCAGTAGTAGCTTTTACTACTTAAAGTGGTTCAATAGGCTTTAAGAACATTTATGTCGTAGAATTAAAGAATCCTTTGCAATTAAAACTATCACTTTAAGTAGTAGATTTTACTGTACTATGCAATTAAACAACTTATAATATAATTAAAAGATGAAAAATTGACAAGTCAAAACTTAAAAAGGATAGTTATAGCAACTAATAAAAGTAGTAAAAATGACTACTTTAAATAGTTAAATTACCAATTGGACAAGCAGAAAGTAGTCTTCGAGTAGTTTGCAGACTGTCGTAGCGAGCGTGCGTGGTTAGTCGGTTAAGGTATCGGATTGCGAGCATTAGGGTCGAGGGTTCAATTCCCGTCGGTTAGAAATTTTCTCTGTTAGGTACATAATCGTTAGGGCATAAAATAAGCGTCAGTATAGGAGAGAGGATGAAAAAGTCAATTCTACTGATAATAAACAATTATAAATAAAAAATAATTTTATTTCCTATTTTAAGTAGTAAAATCTACTACTTAAAGTAGTAGTTTTAATTGCAAAAGATTTATTAATTCTACAAAAAAATGTTCTAAAAGCCTATTGAACCACTTTCAGTAGTAAATTTTACTACTTAAAGTAGTAGTTTCAATTGCAAAATACTATTAAATGTACCAAAAAAATGTTCTTAAAGCCTATTGAACCACTTTAAGTAGTAAAATCTACTACTTACATCTTGAGTTGTTTGAACATTTTTAAATTGAGTTAATACAATCACAAAATGTCATTCTACCAATTACATTTTTAATTGGTTTAACTATTTTTATATAGTTAATAGAAGCGTTTAAATTCAGTTGAGGACCTATTGTACTACTCAGAGTAGTTAAAAAGTAGTAAAACCTACTAGTTTTATTTTCAGTGAAATAATATTTGAGTCAATTTTTTCTTGTTTCAAAAACAGAAATACACACTGAGAAAAAAGGTTTGAGCTGACAACCAAATATTTCATTTAATATATGTGCAACTAAAATTTTTTGGTTGACACAACTAAACTTTAGTTGACATCAACCAAAGTTTGGTTGAGACTACCAAATTCTTTTTCATTTTCTTATTTAGTCGTCTGAAACAAACTTTGGTTGTTGTCAACTAAAGTTTAGTTGTGTCAACCAAAAAATTTTAGTTGCACATATATTGAATGAAATATTTGGTTTTCAGCTCAAACCTTTTTTCTCAGTGCACAGAAAATTAAAAGGCATTAAAATAAGCTGCAACGCTTCTTATTTTAATGCCATTTAATTTTCTGTGTATAGTTTAATTTATTAAAATAAAGGATTGAAATAAAAGTTATTTGAGTCAAATAAAAAATCATTGGATTAAAATAAAAATTATTTGATTCAATTAATATAATCATTGGATCTAAATAAAAATTATTTGAGACAAATAAATATATTTATTTTATCTAATAGATTAATTATATTTGAATAAAATAAATTTTTTTCAGTGCACCAAAAAAGAAATGGATACATATTTTTTTAAAGGTAAAAATAATCCTTCGCCCTTGATATTTAAACAAGTTTTTTTCAAATGACACACACGTATTTTAAAACGAAGGGGCGTTTTTTTTTCCTTTTTTTTTGGAAATGTTAAATGGACGCTATGAACCGCAACAAACTGAAAGCTTTATCCCAATTCAGATTGACGAGGTAAATTTTTTTTTTTTATTTATTTTTGCTATCGCAAGCTGAGCGTATCTAACGACCTTTTTGGATGAGATTCAGTCTATCTCTCACTCGCGGCTCTCAAAAGTGCCCCTGTCCGGTTGTGCTTCAGTCTGTGGGTATAGCAGGTCGCAATAGTGTGCTCCGAGAGTGCCAATATCGTCTAGTGGGCACTCGGCATTGTAACTAGTTTGCTTATGCAACGAGCACTTGTGCCCCTGGAACCGGTAATTGGACTCTAGTTATACTGCAAGAGAGAAGCGCGTTGCCGAAAATTGCGATTAATGATACCATCCGTCGAACTTGCGCGACCAATCGCAGAGCTTCTACTATCGCTAGTTAACATTAGAGAGCGAGAGAGAGAGATAGAGAGAACTTCCTATGAAGTTTCACTTCTGTGTATATTCTCTAAACCTATACAGTAAGCATGTAAATGTGTGTGTGCCTTCAAGTAGCGAGTCGATACTATATGATGTTGGTGTAAATGTTCTTGGACAAACTAACTTTAATGTCTGACCTAAACTCACTTGACCGTTTTGCTAACTTTCTCCATATCTAACATGTTCTCCTAGACCTCAAAACGCTCTGGCTAACGAAGTTTACATTTTTTTTTACCTCATCATTCCCAAGTGGCAAAGGACTTTTCCCCATCAACGCGCTCTTCGAATTGTCCAAGAAATATATTTAGAGTATTTCTTCATTTTTTTTTTTTAACAAATTATAATTATTTTAAAAATGAAAATTTTTATCTGTGAGATCAATACGGAATAATTTTTTTTTAGAAATACTGTTAAAGATTTTCTGTTAGTAGCAAAAGAGAGTATTAAAATTCTATTAACTTTAAAATCAGTAGTAATAATCAAATGTAGTCAAACAGATTAATTAGATTTTGATTTTGGGATGAGTAGTTAAAACAGTTTTAGTCAGACCACTGTTATTATTTTTTCAAAATATTAGTAGTAAGGTTTAGTTGCAGTCAGGCATATTTTGTAATTTTTGATGTAGTAGTAAAAGTCAGTTTTAGTCAGACATATGGTTCAAGTTTTTTTTTCCTATGTGCTGTAATTTTTATTTGAATAGTAAAAGATAAATTAAATTCAAATTGTTTTGATTAGAAAATCAGTAGTACGAGTCAAATATAGACAGATTAATTAGATTTTAATTGTGTTATCAGTAGTAAAAATCATTTTAGTCAGACAAATGTCTGTAATTTTTTTAATTTAATTATCAGTAGTAAGGGTCAGCTGCAGTCAGACACGTGAAATTTCTGTAATTTTTGTTTTTTCTTTAATGAAGGATAGTGTTAGTAAGACAAATGATTTAAATTCTTTGAACTTGTGTTTCAGTAGTAAGAGTCAGTATCAGTCAGACAAAAGATTTATATTCTATTAAGTACAGTATCAGTAGTAAAAATCAGAATTAGTCAGATTGAATGAGATTTTTATTTTATATCAGTAGTAAAAATGCGCTTCAGTCAGACAAAAATATTTTTTTAACTATTAGTAGTAAAAGTCAGTTACAGTCAGGCATACCAAATTTTTCTATCAGTAGTAAAAATTTCCTGTTAGTCAGACAAAAGATTTTAATTCTATAAAGTGCCGTGTATAAGTAGTAAAAGTTACTTGTAGTCAGACATTTAATTTTTGTAAATTGTCAGTAGTAAAAATCAGCTTTAGTCAGACAATTCTTTAAAATTATTTTTAATTAACTATAATAGTAACTGTCAGTTACAAACAGACGTGTTTAATATTAAAACGTATTATAATACTAAATTTTGATATTCATTTATACTTCATCAATTAAAGTGAATAATTCACATTTTATGGAGGCTCTCAAATTGAGACCATAAATAGCATCAAAACGTTGCATTATCAACAATTTGATACACTTCAGGGTCTCAATTTGAGATCCTCAGAAAACTGTGTTCTTAAAAATTGAATTTATATTCGAAAAAATGGTCTGTTTGCAGAAAAAGGAGAATGTTCCTTAAAACTAGTTTTAACTTTGATCAAGAAAATGGAAATCAAGACAGTAAAAATTCAAATGCTATTGACCAAGTTTAAGAACAATTTCCCATTAAAGATACAATTATACGAGAAAGTGAAAAAAAACTCTCTTTTATTTGGACCTTCTTTTTTCGTGACTCATTATAAATATTTTCTTATTTTCATCCAACTGTTTTGTCTCATCGTAATCATTATACTTTTCTCTCGTATGTGTATTTCTTTTGTCTTTCTTTACAAAAAAAAAAAAAATAATCAGGAAGGAACGAAGAAAAATATGTTCAAAGACTTGTTTGATAACCTTCAGTGTTCTTATATACTCGATTTAACTCATAAGTCGTGTGAGTTATATTCTTGAACGCTTTTCACGCTTACTTTTCACTAAACATATATATATATTTCTTTGGCTGTCTAGCAACAGA